TGGGTGTCACCTGTGCGGTATGAGGGTCATCGCCCTATTGCTGGCCCACCATCGCACGGGACATGGACTTGGTGGGTCAACTTAGGGTGGCGGGTTTGGAGACTCCTCGGTGCCGCCTGGTCAGTAGCGGGAGTCCTGGCTCTGCTCAGTCTTAGAGCTCCCGGTTGAAGCGCAGGTGTCCGTCGGGGCCGAGCAGGATGCCCTCGATGGTCGCCATGGTGCGTTGTTCGGGGGTCAGGAAATTGGAAATTGTCTCAATGATGGTCTCCCCGAAGGTGATTGCCATGTTGTCCACAAAAGGGTCTCGCCGGGAGGCGCGACAGAGCTGCCTCCCGAAGGTAAGCCAGGAACAGGTCAGTTGTTGTAGCATGTGCTGCCGGTTGGCGCTGTTGAGCAGCTGGAGTTGTTGGTGAACGTGTTGCTGGATAATCCAGCGCAGCAGGCTCCTGAGAGGTGTGACCTGCGTAGTTGGTTCCACGGGTACAAGAAAAAGGCCCCCGAAGTCATTGCCGTACACATTGGTGGGGGTGCGCGAGAAGATGCCGTAGTTGGTCAGGTGCCATTGCAAGCCGATGTGGTCGAGGACGGAGGGGAATTCCGGTAGCAGTTCCGGATTGATCAGGAAGGTGGCATCTTCGTGTACCCGCGCGCGGATGTGTCCGGCCCGCTGGGTTGACAGCAGGCCTTGTGTGCTGTCGTCACGGTCGATGCCTGGCGGCTGGAGCCACTGGACTAAGTCGTGATGTTGGTTGGATGGTGTGGGGGGTGCCGCCTTGGATGGTGTGGTGGGTTGCGGGCGTGGTGAAGGCATGTGGTGCGGGACGGGCCCGGTCGATGTGGTGGTCGCCTCCGGGAATCGGGCCTGTCTGGGAGTGTCGCGAGCCGTGGGTGTCGCGAAGTTGACGGTCCGCGGTGGTGTCATAGCTCGGGAGTATCCCGGTTGTGTGGAGCGGCCTCGCTGCTGTCGGGGGGTGTTGTTCCGTTGGCGAGACGGGTTCAATGTGCTTGGCGGGCCACGTGGTACCGCGTATGGCATCTGGTAGGTGCACGGATCGGGGTACCGAACGTTCATGTGGTGAATGGGCGTGTTCCACTCGCCGTGAAGGTGGTCGCGGAGGATTTCAAAGGCCTCCCGCCTGGACACGAAGCGCCATTCACGGTGGGCTGTGTCATAGTGGATGCCCACGCCGGTGTTGGGTCTGGCATGGTGCACGAAGCGCAGCCAGGCAAGAAGGTCACCATGCAGGACTGAGTCGCTGTGAACATGGCGGCATTCGGCACCACTGTCGCAAAAGCCTTCTGGATGCCGGGCCTGTTGTCGAAGATGTCGGTAACAGATGTTGTCTCGCGGCATCCAACGCGCATCAACGAACTCCGGATGCAAAAAGGCGCACTGGTGGGCAGAGGCAGGTGCACGTCCCCTGCAGCCGGAATGGTTGATGAACTGGTTGCAGACCTGATTGCCCTGCAAGATGTTGCCCGGACCGACCGCCTCGGGCAGGATCGAAAGATGGTCTTGAAGGGCCCGGTACAGTCGTTCATAATCCGGGTCGAGCTCGGTCATTTCCATGAGCTGGTACTCCTCCACGATGGATGCGAAATTCGCTGGAGCAGTCATGGCGGTCGAGCAGGCAGGGCAGGTAGGTCGGAAAGAAAAATTTGGCTAATTCGCCGAAATGGCGAACGGAGCATGAATCAAGCAGTGTCATCCTGCAGGCACTCAAGGTTCGAATCTGAGTGTGATTCAAATGCCTTCCGCTATCGGTTGTTACTTTTAACACAAGTGTTAACCGCAACAAATGGGCATCAGAGACAAGTCCCACAGCAAAGTTTGCGTGTAGAAACGCTCAGTTGTTCAAAGCCGACCTTTTGACCTTTTGATATTTAGTGGCCCCAAAAGGTGATCACCTTTTAGTTGCAGGTCCTTTGGGGCAACTGAGAACGCGGTTGAGGTCCAAAGCTGTAGTTGAGGTCCAAAAGTTTGGGTGAAGTTTCTCAGCGTGACAAAAACAATTGGCGCATCATGCTGCCACGGATGGTTGGGCACCATGGAACCACCAGTCCTCCTTCTTCTTTTTTTTTGAACAAGTTGCCGGAGCCTCCGTCCAAACTAGGCAGGGGCAAACATGGACAAACAAATCCGCAAGAATGCTTCACGGCCCCCCAGTGGGTGATTTGCTTTTGATGGCACGATCCTCTTTGTGTGGATGCCGAAAGCACGATTTGAATACGAAAGGAAACAAACAGGTCCTTCAGCGACTAAAATGGTAAAGAAATGGAGCCCCAAAGCATATACATTGTTCCTTCGCCAAGGTTGGCAACGCAGGCATTTCGCTCCTTATCGGGTCGCCTCACATTGGCGCAAAGCCGCGGAAAGGGCCTGTGACCTCGTGGTCCTCGTTTCCACTCGCCTACGGCAGTTCCCTTGGCGATCGAAGCCAGCTGGGGTTCGGTTTGAATCCCGGCTTGCCCTAGGGAAGCTGATTGGAGTCGAAACCACGCGGCGGACCGATCGTTTTGTTTTTTAAAGGGTTCCGACCAGGGGACCTTTTCGACCCAGGGGTCGAAAAGGTGTGCTCACCTGCTTCCATTTGCTTAGGAATACTTGGGAATGTTTGGTTTAATCTTCCCTTTAAAGGGAATCTATCACTGCTGGACACATGTTCATTTTTTACAGGGGGCTTATGCAGGTGGAGGCCTGGAGTTCGTTCTTGCAAGCGACCGATTTGTTTGGGGCAGCAAGTTCCCCTTCCCACTGTGATAGGTCAAGACTTGGGCGCGTCGCTTTCTTTTGAGGGTATCCCTTTTGGGGTTATGTTGAACAGGGCTCCTTGAAAGATGACCATTTTGCAACCATCTGAAACACGTTGCCTTGTCCAAAAAAAAAGAAAAAGAAGGGACCACCATTTACAAGTTGCAATGTTCAGGTGTATAATGTAAGGATCCCTGTTGAAGGGAGTCCAAGGAGAAGCCACCATTTTGGGATATTTGTGGGTCCTATTTCAACACGCACTCATTTGAGCAATAGGTTGGGGGATTCCAACAAGGATCCAACCGCGCCCTGGCCGAACTAAACGAGTCGAGGAAGCACGCCTACATTTGAAATGGACCTCCAAAACGGTGATGTTCCCTCACTTCCTGAGTTGGTGGACTTTAAACTTTTTGGAAAGACCATTTTAGTGGTAAATAAAAAGTTCAAACTTTTTTGGCCAGTCAACTTGGGAAGTGAGTTCCTTTTTGACCGATTGAGCGGATGCTGGCGTTTTTTGATTCCTGCTGCAGCCATCCTTCAAGTGCATTCTGAGTCCTTTTTCTAGAATCCTCCCATGTCTTCACCCGGAGCTGTTCCATTTCCCCCTTGATCAGGAATTGGAACCCGGGAACTTATTCTGAGAAGGGCAGCCAAGGCACCACTATTTACCTGAGGGCTTTGATCATCCAACTTGGGTCAACCAAGGCCATTCATTAATGGGGGCAAACATATCCCTGCCAAAGACCAACGTGGACCCGAACTGGAGGCTGGAAGAACATGTGCCTCTGAACGCCTTCCAACGGGCTCCGAACCTGTGGCCTATCGCTTGCATTCCAAAATGGAACCCGGCAAGCGGACATATGGTTGCCAAAACCTGCGTAACCCCTCCTGCTTAATTTTGAGCCACACCCAAATGGTTGCTTCACTTCCAGGGCTCCTTAAATGGCCATTTTGCAACCATTTGAAACATGTGGCTTTTTCCACCAGAATAAAGTTGGACACCACCATTTACAAGTTGCAATGTTCATGTGCTGGCGACAAAAATAATTCGCCCCAAGTTCTTGGTTACCACTGATTTTTCCCAGTGGTTCAAAGCGAATCGACCTGAAATGACCGTTTATGGTTTTCCCATTCTGGGATCCCATATTTAGTGGCCCCAAAAGGTGATCACCTTTTAGTTCCAGGTCCTTTGGGCAACTGAGAAATGGGTTTCGCGACAAGTTTAAAGTCCAGGAAGTCGAGGAGTGAGTCTAGTCAGTTGCGACCTGCGACATGCAAGTCCTGACTGCGCCCACGATTATTGACCCAATTCAGGCCTACGACACACTGCGGCGAACTCGTCCCTTAGATCAAAATGAAATAACAGTCTCACAAACAAAACGTAAGCGAGGTTCTTGCGTGCCAATCTTCCTTCTTAGTGGATGGTTGAAAGTTGTTTGGATATGTTTCGACCCCAATTGCACCCCAAAACAACCACAGCACCTTCGAATTATCATTCCAGGGCAAATTGCTTCTCGCTTTGCAGGCCATAGAAACCAGCGAAGCATTTATTCTACGTTTGCCACAGACCCGGCAAAAACCTTGGAATGTCCTGAAACTTGTTCTTATGGTGGTAGCTGAAATGCAGGGCTATGTTTTTTTGCATGCCCCTCACGGCGCTGGTGACCAGCCTTTGGCTCAGGTGGCAAGGAATCCATCGAAAAATGGTGGGAGTAAATGTTCTCCCGCTCCAAACAAATCCTTGCAGGTCTGGGGGAGAGGACGTATCCAACATTTGCTTTGCTGGCGTGGGGTTTGTGGGGTCAGAGTTTGTCTCAAAGAGAAACCACCCAAAATGGATGTTCCCTTTGGTTTTCCCTTTGTTTGAAGGACCCCCCGTTTTGGCGGATATCTTCAAAACATGACGCACCCATCAATCATCCCTTGCCAAGTAGTCGTGGTTTCCCTTACTTGGCCCCACTCCCACTTCGAACTGCGGATTGGATCCAGTCACGCCTCAATGGGCCGCCCAACGAACAGTTTCCGTTGTTCAGGTCCGCTGTAAAACGCCGACCAGCGTCGCTCTCTTCAGCAGGTTGTTGTTTGGTTACGTACCTCCAGAAAGGTTCTCAGAACCTACGAAGAACAATATGGGTGGGTTTTTTTATTAGGGGGACAATGGTGGCTTTCCTTCTGTTCCCCCTTTAAAACCGACCAAAAAAGGATTCCCGGTTCCCCTAAAACAGACCGACCCATATTTCCCTTGTTACAATTGTTCCTTGCCATGCTGTGTGGTCGGGCATGGGCAAGATGCCCCCTTCGCTGCCGTGCAGCAGCGATGATCAGCGAGGAGATTTGCGCGCAGCTCATTGCCCAGTTACTTCCATTTGTTTAAGAATATGTTGCATGTTCCCCTGTTGGTTTTAAAAGGAATCGATCACTTGTGGAAATATGTATTTTTTCCAGGGGGCGAAAAAGCAAATGGAAGGTTAGCAGCAGGTTTGCTGACTGGTCTCCTCCGGTAGGGTGATTCCATTTGCCTATGTAGGAGGCGACCAAGGGCTTGCTACCCTTTGAAAACCAAAAGGAAAATGGCTGGTTACCTATCGGCGTAACTGGGGTTCTTTCTGCCTTTCGTTGTGGCAAGCTGATTTGGACTCAAAAAATAGGGGCCCAAAATGGAACCCTATGGAAAGTAGACGAAAACCTGCGGTCTCCTGCTTTTAAGTTTGAGCCAAATATGGGGGAGACCCATACTCCTTCAGCATGGAAACCTTACGGATAGAGCATAGGACTAGGTTTGATCATCCAAACCTTCTCAGAACTGAGAATGTTCTAACGCCTGCAAGCCCAGCATTTTGGATTCGCTTTGCCCTGGATTCGCTTTGGGCAAAGCGAATCAACCTCTTGACCTTTTGGTTTTCCAAGTTTGGTCAATTCTGCGTAAAGGTGCCCAAGGGTGAGTTGTTCGATTCACCAAGTTAGGAAGTGGTTGGCATGCTGGGCTAGAACCCACTAAGCCTCTTATAGGGTTAACCCAGCTAGTGGGTTGCATCGATGTGAAGGTATCTTTCATGGTCAGGTCCCGAAGCACGTGACTTAGGCCACTTAAGACACGGCCAGTGGGTTCTTCGGGCTCCTGGGGTACCATTTGGCCGGTTCTCAGCCATCCGTTCTCTTTTTTTTTTGATGTTTCCCGCGCCTTTTTTTGTTTCCCCCCGGTTTTTATTTTTTTTCCACTTGGCGTTTTCCAAGTGGAACCACTCAACGTTTTCGACCTTGGGATCGGAAGGGTAACTTCCATTTGCTTTCGAATATTGTTTATTTCCCCTGTTGGTTGTGCAGGGAATCGATTTCACTACTGGCCATATGTTCTCATTTTTCCCAGGGGGCGCATTCGCCAACGGAAGGGGGGCCGTTTCAAAGGGAAGCCACCAGCCAGGAGCGGCGGGCCAAGATGGAGTCGCAAAACTGGCAGCTTCCCAAGAATTAGTTCCCCTTTCTATTTTTTGCTTTTTTGGGGTCCCCTTTGTTTTCCACTAACCAGGCAAAAAGATTTTTATTTTGCTGGGGTCCTAATTCCAGGCAGGTGGTGGGCTCGCATTCAGCGGTGAAGCTGTGCCGCTGGACGAAGTCCATGTTGCAGGGCAAAGGCGGGGGGGGTGGGGAGTGGACGTGTCCGTCCGAACGGGAAGGCCGGATTTGTCACAGACACCTCCAGCAAAGCCTGCAAGTTAGCCCAGAGCCCTGGATTCTTTGGGGAATGTCCTGGATCACCTTTTTGGCAGTTCGGATAACTTAGAAGCTAGGTCCCTCAGTAGTGCCCTTTCTCACTTTTTTTGGGCGGGTTCCCCTACTAAAATAGACTGCAGAAAAACGTTGGTGCCCTTATTCTAACCTGTCTACTGGAGGACCTAGTTCAAAATTGCTCGTCGTTCAGCAGATTCCCTTTGTGGTTGCAGGCATCAACTTTTCTTTGCCATTTGTAAGTGAGGTTCCTTTGGGGCTGATGCATTTGGCCGATCGGCTCACTTAGTGTTGGTGGCAACCCGGGTTACAACCAGGAGCTCCTTAGCTCCTTTGGTATCTTGGTGGCTCCCGAAGACCATCCGGTTCCTTAGCTTTTTAGATCTTTTCAGTGGGGTTTGCCATTTGGCCCATTAAAAGTTAAACTTTTAGCGGGGGATCTGAGGACAGCTCAGGTATTGGTTCCTATTTGCTGAACTGTCTTTTCCATTTGTTTAAGGCCCCCTTTTTGGTTTAAAGGGAAACGATTTCACTACTGGACATGCTTCTCATTTGTTTCCACCGGGCTTAAGCAGATGGAAATCAATCAAGGAAAGTCTCCAGACCAAAACCCTGGTTTTTGTGGGAATTTCCTGGAACGTTTCCTGGAGATGGTGTCTTAGACTTGCTGAACCTCTGGTTGATTCACAGGGAGGTTTCCCTTTTTAGTGGAGATTCATCACTTTTGTGCGTGACACCGGACGGGATTTATTCATGGATCAACGTGAAGTAGGACAAGGGTTAATTCCCCATTCTCTTCATACATCGTTCTCTTCCACCGTTCATTTGACATGGGGGTTGGTCCATTATCTGAAGGGAAGGATGCCTGAAGAGAATGCACATGGAAGGCAAGAAGGACACCGAGACCTCAAGTAACTCCTTTGGTATTTCTTTTTTTGCTTTTTTTTTGGGGGGGTCCCTCGCTTTGCATCAAAATGGCGGGCCCACTTGATCTGGGCCCACTCCCCAAGTGGTGGTGTTCGGCACTTGGCCAAGGCCAACTCGGCCAAGGCCCAACTTTTGACAATGCATCCCCCTGTGCGAACCGCATGGCAGAGCAGCAATTCTAGGGGCACCCTTCCCATTCTTTCCAGGGATCCTTCTTTCTAGAACACCTCTCTTGAAACCCAGGGAAAACGGCGACCGGTTCTTGAAAAAGAACGATGGTGGAAAAATAGGGACGAATCAACCCCTAGAGTGATGGAGATGAACGAAGCACGAAGCCTGCATTGTGTGGTGGGGGCTTCACGTCTTCGGTTTTTCGGCCTCCAAATCCATTTCGGTTTGGTGTGTGGGTACCTACTAAAATCATCACCCACCACGCTTTCGGGTCGGACATGGGAATTTGTGGAGTCGTTTATGCAGGAAACTAACTTAAAACCACTATTTGTTGCAGCCCCCCAATTACTTTGACAGACAGACATGAGAGAGAGAGAGAGAGAGAGATATCTATATATATATATATATTATACACACACACACATATATATATATGTATATACATGCATTTTCCATTACACGATCTCTTTTAATGTATCTTTAATTTGTTTGCGTACTATTCATTGATAATCAATCTTCATCTTTATTTATTTGATAGAATGGCTTCGCCTCGCTTTGGGGTTCGAAAAGCCGGAAGGTGGCTGCTATAAGCACACCTTCTATGGCATCGCCTCTCACCGCTGCGCTTCGGTCGAATTGGCGCGGCAAAGGGATTCATTTGGGTGTGTCTTACTTTGGGGGGAACGGGATAAGGCTTCTCTTCGTTAAGAAGAGGCACGTGCCCGAAATGGTATCCCGAATGGGTTCTCAATACAAAGGCTCTAGGATGCTACACACGCGGAAACTCAGTTTGGTGCAAGCGATCGCAACTGGTTTGTTCCTTCAGGGGTCCCCTGAATTAAAGGGGGGCCTGAATTGTCTCATTGTTAGCTGGGGAGTGATGAATCAGAGTCAACAGGGGTGTCTCTTTTTTGGGACCCCGGACCTTTTCGGGACCTTTTCGAGCTGGATGATGAATCAAAGACAACGCGCGTTTGCCGAGTGGCCTGCGCAATTCAATGTCTTCATGTGTTTGGCCACGAGTCAATCAACGATCCTCATGGGCAACAGCATAGGCGCTGCCCTAAAAGGGGATCAAAAGCGAGCCAATCGTGTATGGATCTCCCCCATTTTCGGAAACCCAGGTGCTCTAAGAGTGGCGGCTTCAAAGGAACCCACCAGCAAATTGATCAACTCAACCCGCAAATGCGTGGTTTCTTTTCGAACTTCATTTGGAAGATCTCGAAAACAAACAATAACGAGAAACCTGGACTTCCGAAGACCATTCTAAAATGAGGCCACCCCTTTCTTTTTTGGGTAACGGCCTAATTTCTTAGAAGGGTCATGGAGGCTCCAGCTACAGACACGTGGGAGTATCACTTGCTGGTTCTCAGCAAGGAATGAGTTGGAATGACCCCGAGATGTGGGCATCCCCTTGCGCTCCCAAAAAGCGGACTCGGCCATTCCCTATCTATGACGCCAGCAAGGATAGGTCCCCCAGTAGTGCCCTTTCTCACCCCTTTTTTGGTTGGGAGGGTTCCCCTCCTAAAATAGACGTCCTGAAAAAGAAACGGTACCCTTATTCTAACCTCTCGACTGGAGGACCTAGAAGATATGGCGGCTGTATATCCCAAGATCCGTAGTTTCCTCTTGAACTTCTCGAACTTTTCCCCCACAACCGAATGAAAGAGATACAGAGTCAGTTGTTGGGTTTGGAGCAGCTGAATGGTGTACATCCAAAAGAAGCCCCTGGTGGAAACTGACTCCTTTCGTTTTTTCTTCGTTTTGCTCGGGTCGCGAGGGCTTTTGTTTTTTTCTTGCTTCGTTCGGGTCGCTGCGAGGCATGGAGCACACGCCCAACGTCTCCTGCGCCAACAAGTGCATCTTCTGCTGGCGGAACCACATCAACCCGGTGGCGCTGGACTGGAAGTTTGACACCGACGAGCCGGAGGCGAGGGACGCGAGGGGCGCGAGGGACGCGAGGGGCGGGGCCGTTGGGACGGGTGGGCCCGAGGCCGACGGGACGGGTGGATTTCCCCCCCTTGGCCGGGTGGCCGGTTGGGTGTCTTCCATTTGTTAAAAAAGCGTCCCCTGGTGGTTTTAAAAGAATCGATCACTACTGGGCATATTTTCATTTTCCCCAGGGGGCGAAAACGCAAATGGAAGGCGTGTGTTGCTCGGGTTCCATGAAAAGAGTTGCTAGCGAGCTGCTGGTTGGAAGAGAGCGTTGGGGAGCCAGGGGTATCCCAATTTGCCTTCACAGAAGGAGCGGTTCAGGAGCTACCAAGACTTCTGTCAGGACATGGTAGCAAGGGACCAATTTGGAGGATGAAACTCCCGAAGGGTAAATAACGGTAGTCATATGTTAAGCCCCCTCTTTGATTCAATGGTGGTGACTGGTTCTGAACCCCAGGGTGTGTGTGTGTGTGTTTGTAGGTTCCCCTTTGTTCAGAAACCCCTAAATGAGTCTCGCTTCCTGACTTTATGAGTTTTTTTTCTGGGTTGTTACTTTAGGATGTGGAACAAGAATGAGAGAGATGAAAGGGAGGGATTTCCTGTAGACCAACCTTCATCTCCCATTCCCACTCCTCCATCCTCAGCCACCGGCTGGTTGGATGGGTGTGTGAATGACATGACCTGATGCATCCTCCATCATATGAATGCATCAGAATGAAAAAGACATGACATGTACACTCACTCCTTCCTACCAGCCAAGAAGAGAGAAATGGCTGGTGAGTGAGTGATATCATGTCCCACATGTCCTTATCCCATCTATTCCTTTCTCCTCAGTCACTTCCTTCGTGACAGTGAGGAGATGGAAGAGGTGGAAGGACATGGTGAAGGGACATGTGGGTGCTATTAGCCGTTCCCTGTCTCACGGCTGCACCCCATCACCTCTCTGTCAAGGATTTGGACCGGTTGGCGGTGTATGGGAGAGAATGAACCTTTCTGTAATAGCGGTTCATCTCTGAGATTGATGGTGTACGAAAGGAAAAGGAAAGGTTAACCGCTATGACGAAGAGATGAGGAATGAGGTTACACCGTCCTTTCCCTTCGGTCACTCCGTCTATAATTAAAATCCTTGAAAGATAGGCATGAGAGATAGATAAAATAAATATAAAAATAAGATATGATTAATAGGTGAATGATAATAAAACCAAAATATCTGTGAAATCCTTGACGGTAGGAATGGTAAGTGAAAAAGCATTCATAATCTTAGGAATGGAAAGGATTAGTAAAAAACATTCTATTTCCATCTTATCTTATTTTTATGTGTCTTTCCTCACCTTCCTGTCACTCACGGTCTCTCACTCCCTTCCGTCGTAACCGTTCATTCCAGGAATTCTCAGAGACACACCACACACTTCCAAATCCTTGAATCGAGGGAATAGGAAAGAAAAGGAAAAGCATTCTCATAAAGACAACTTACGACATCTCCCTCGATTTCCAGGATTATTTGTTACCTTTAGGATTCTCTCCGTCAATGATAGGGAGGAGACGGAGAAAGAGAATCCTGTGTCACTTCCTTCATGGTGAGGAGCGGCTGTGTGTCAGGTCTCTTCCCTAAGCCGCGAGTGAAGGAAGGAGTGACCCCACATTCCATCTCCTCAAGCCCTTTCCCTGTCGGTTGGTGAGGATGGGAAATAGAGAGATGGGGAATGACTGAGGAACGAAGGAATGTGACAGGAGATACAGTATTGATTCAAGTTTTTTTTTTAGTGGTAAACAACAAGTTCCTGGACTTGTTCTGGCCAATCCACTGGGGAAGTGAGGGGTGGTTTAGATTTGTGGCTTCGGGATTCGAAGCGCGGCTTCTTGTACTCCAATCCACCGGACTCCAAGCCATCAATCAGAAGGAAGCTGTTTCTTTTAAGGTTTGCACAAAGGAAACCAAAAGGACAACGTAGGACCATTTGGGCTTCCAGCTATTTTCGCACATACGCTACAACTCTTGGGTGTTTCCCATTTTACCCGTGCTGCACCCAAACCTAGAGCCTTCTTTCTGGTGGTTGCCCGAGAACGAGCTTCCTCTCAAGCCGATCGTATTTTCGGGCTCCATGTTCATATGCAGGGGGGGTAGCAATCATTGCCTGTTTTGTTGCAAACTCGCTTATTCGGGTGGAAAGCGAGCTCACCATCATGTAGCTTCTTCTGTTGGGGGATCCCTTACTTCAGGTTTGGACATTATAATGGCATTCGCAGAACTATAAAAAATGCCCCGTTGGATTTTGGACATGGTTTTATTTCGCGTAGTGGAAGCACTGGGCCGGTTTGCAAAACGCGATTGAACAAGAGCCTGGCCCTATTAAAAGCTGGATTCTAGAATTGGGCTTGAGCACCCCCTCTTTCATTGAAGAATGTGGGATTTGGACACCGTCCAGTGGTATTGCCAAAATTGCATGCATTTCCCAATGGTTTGCAGGAGCACCAACAAATATGGTTGGAGCAGTGGTTGAGCATGTCCCTTTAAAGTCAACCAAGAAAGGATGCCGATTCTTTTCTTATCCCATGGAATTCCACTGAACTGAGTAACATACCTCACATCTTCCAACCAGAATTAGGTCCCCTTTTCCCTTTTTCTTGATCTTTTTTGGTGGGTCCCCTTTGTTTTCCCACTAAACCAGGCAAATATATATATATATATATGTATATATATATATATATTTGCCGGGGTCCTATTTTTCTTTTTTCCAGCCTAGACACGGGGGAGGAGGCCCTTCGCCAGGCGATTCTGGAGGAGTCCCTGCGAAAGCACCACGAGACCATCGAAAGGCGCCCAAGTCGTTCGAATCGGCCGGAACCGGATCTGGCCCGTGGGTGGGTGTTCCCCTCGGTTTTTTTTGTTGGGGGGGAAGGTCCAGGTCACAAAAGGTTTTCACCTTTGGTTTCCAGAGTCCAAAAAGGGGCAAGTGAGAGGTTCCGGGAAAAAAATCCAAGCCCCTTAGTAGGCGATGCGACTGCCCGGCGCAAAAGTCCATGCCGGTATAAACCTTGATGATCATATGATGTCAAGCCCAGATTGCTAAACCCGTTCTTTTTCCTAGGGGGAGTTCCCTCCAAAAGCACTGACCCCCACTAAAAGGGGACACCCCAACTCTCAAATCAACGAGTTCTACTTAGATGCGGAGTTTCCATGAGAACCGAAAGTCACTGGGTGGCACGGGAGCAAAAGGAACAACCACCATGTTGGCAGGCCACTAACGTTCTGTGTTGTTTCTCGCAAAAGGAAGCCAACATGGGATGGGTATTTTCATTTTTGCAGACACCTCTAGTTTTCACCCAAATCCACCAGCCCTGCTAACAAAAATGCAGCACCACAAGTTATGGCCATTGGGAAGTGGATTCCTTATTTGCCCATTGTTGGATTTATGTTATCCTTGTATGGATGGGAATGCTTTGCAAAGCACTGCTGGCTCAGCTATTTTTCTTCAGTCTAGGGGGATGAGTAATTGAACAGCACGACAGCCAGCCATGATGTCCACAAAAGAGGAACATGCACCCGGGTCAATTTGAAGTGTGTCAAGACATAATTTTCGCCCAATGCCGTGGCTTTGGATCCGACACCCCCGAAATCAAATCCCCATGACACATCACCCTTCCCACTGAAACAACATGTCCCCCCGGAAGGTTCCTTTTTTTCAGGCTCGCTGGTGGCAACAATCCTGGGTTTTTCCGCAGTTGAACGTCGGCCCCCCAGCCAGGGATGAAAACGGCGGGGGTGGGGGGATGGTACTGCGATGTCTCCTCGACCAGCGCAAAAAAAATGGTACCAGGGCGGAACGGAAACTATGTTGGCCCTGGGAATCAGGGTGTTGTTTTCTTGAAACGTATTTTAAGATGTGCTTATTTCAGAGTGTGCTTTGTTTTGTTTAGTCCGTTTTGTTTGGGCCCCCATCTTTCAGCTTCCCCTTATTTGGTGGTTTGGGGGTTATCTTCCCTTTTCCCCCTACAAGAAGCAGAGGTTTAAGTCCAATTCTACACCGCCAATCCAAATCACCAACGAAGGACTACCCTCCCTCCCACTAACACAGCAACTGTGGGGCGGTACCTACCTCGATGTCCTCCAGGCCTCAAACCTCCATTTTGCTGTTCGGAGGAAGTGTGCTTGGTTCTTCCAGCAATCATGGGCGGGGGCGGCCCAAATTGACCCCTCCTCTCTCTCAGAGTTCCTGGACTTCAAACTTTTATGGCTTGGACCACTTTGGTGGTACAAAACCAATCCACTCGATCAGAAGTGAGTGAGGAATTAACCTTTAGGTTGGGCCCCCTCCCCCACCCCTAACCCATTTCCCCTTTCATGGGCTCTATAAATGAACCTGATTCCTGGGGTTCAAACCATCATTGCAACAATGTAACGATGAGGGTTAATATAACAAATATAACCACTAGCGTTCACCTTGGGTCATCATCTAAATTCGGTTAACCAAGGCCCTTCTTTGATGGTAGGGTCTTCCCCCCCGCTCCCTTCCCTCACGGCAAGGATGGGTGCTTGGTCAAGTTGGGGGCACGTGGATTTTGAAAGCAATCCTGGGGCTTGAAGCCCAAATGAGCTCTTAAGCCCTTAAGGCCTTGTTTGGCTAGGTCGCACAGTAGTGCCCTTTCTCACCCTTTTGTGTTGGGAGGGTTCCCTTACTAAAATAGAAGACAGACAAAAGTTGGTACCCTTATTCTATCCTCTCTACTGGAGGACCTAGTTGACACATGCCCAGCTACAACGAAAAGGGGCGGTTCCCACCCTAGCCTTTTGCAAACTAACCTAGAACCTCTTTCAGGGCTCCTTAAAAGATACATTTTGCAACCATTTGAAACATGGCTGGCTTTTTCAACACCAACATAAAGTTGGAAACAACCACCAGAAAACAAGTTGCAATGTTTTTTTGGTGTTTTTCCATGCATCCGGATCCCTGTCTTTTCTGCTGGCCTTGGATGCCCAACGGCAGTGCTCCCTCCCTCCCTCAGCCCCGGTACGAAGGCAGTGCCTGTCGCCCAACGCCCTGGAGACCCGAAAGGCCGAGGCGCGCAGCGTGCAGCACTGCGCCTTGCGCCTTGGACAAGAAGCGGAAGCGGGCGGGAAAATGGAGCCAGTCTCATGTGGCGTGTTTTCTGGTGTGTGTGTGTGAGTGTGTTTGCTTGTTATCAGGTCCCCTTGATTTTGGTTTATTCGCTTTAGTTTTGTTCGCTGATGGTTTTAGTGGGGATCTGTGACTGCTAGAAATATATTTATTTTTGTCCAGAGGGCCTAGGCAAATGGAGGTAGTCAAGACCAGTGTAGTGATCTTGCTTTTTTGGGGGGGGGTAAAGGCAGAAACTGGTTGGTTGTTTCCCGTCAACCTGCCACTTGGCACTCAGTTGGTGGCTTGGGTTGGTGATTTTGAGGATTTGACCCCCCCAAATCTTGTAATGTTGGCCCAGGATTAATAAGCCCGTCCCATTCTTAGGGGGGTGAAAACCCCTCCAAAAGTGGTCCGAATCCAACCACAACAAGGAAAAGGGGACACCCCCCTATTAATCAACCAAAAGTGCCGAATCCAACCACTAAAAAAGGGGACACCCCCCGATGAAAAAATCCACCCCGGGTTCTGCTTCATCCGGGGTCAACTCTTATCCTCGTTCGCCGAACCGTTTAATACAAACCATCAGTTGAGTTGGAAGATATGAGCCGAAGATCCTGGGGCCCAAAGGAGTTCCCCTAAACTTTAAAGGTAAATAGAAGTTCGCTTCACGGTTCTTGGCTCATGTCTTTTTTTGTTTCTCGGTTTTTGGCTTTTTGGTTCTGTTCTCATTTTTACGGGTCTGCACAAAACAGTCAGTTTTCGCAAGCCCATACCAAGAGTAGAGATGGAAGGTTCCTCTCTTCAAAGCCACCTGAAAAAGAGGACCACGCGCCTCTTTGGGCCAACCGGAACGCGAGATTGCTATGGTGCCTTCTGTTTCTGGGAGGAAGGATCCACAATTGGGTGTGTCTCAAGAAAAATGTCCCCCAGTGCCTTAGGGTGTTTGAAATGGTCTACACTTTCTTCACTTGCCAAAATCGGACATGTTGCACCTTTTCGTGTTCCGCTTGCTTCATTCGCAGGTCCACCCTTTTCTCAGGTAGCCCTTACTTAATGGATTTGTGAAGCCCTGGTTCTTGAAAGTAAATGGGGTTAACCACGCCGGAACACATCCAAACAGCAAATTACACTCCTACAAATCAATAGGGAACCCAAAAAACGTCCTTTTAGAGGAACCTGCTTTTTAGGTACCCCAGACCAACAAAGGTATGTGTCAAAATATGGGTGTGAATTCTTGATAGGGACCCTTGGAACATCATGTTCTAACACAATTCGTAGCTGAATGGATTTTGCAAATTAGCCGCGGCTTTCTTTTGGTATCCCTTTCAACCGACCTAACAAGAGGACCAACTCAAAAACAACACAACCGTACGAGGAATTCATCTCACACCCCGAGTTTCTGCACTTGACTTGGCAAACAAAACCTTTGCTGACTTTGCTTTTTGGCTATTTAGTTGGATCTTTAGACTTTAAACTTTTTGGGAAACAGTGGATTTTCCATTGGACTGGTGCTTTTTGTCGGTCTTCAAGAAAGAAGGGCAATGTCGACCCCAGATTAATATGCTCCTGGTTGAGCTTGATCGGGGGTGTCCGCTTGTAGTGGGGGTTCATGGCTGCGGAGGGAACTGATACTTTATCTGGGTCGACATTATGCCCCCCCCCCAAGAAAAAAGTGGCTTCCACATGAACTAAGCTCTGGTGCATTTTGCTTGGTTGTTAGGACTTTAACTTTTTGCCAACTCATGGGTTTTCCGAATTAAACCACCAAAAGTTAAACTTTTCGCAGGGGAGCAGAAAGCAACCGAGTAGTCTGAAAAGGGTAGCTCACAGGACCCACTCTTTGAGCGGATTGGCCAGCCACCCACTTGGTTGCTGTTGAGCTCTCTGCAAAAGTGTGACGTTTCGTGGGGGAGGTCAACTGCAACAGCGAGCTGGTTGAAAAGAGTAGGTCAACAGCAACCTTGTGGGGGAGGCGGAAACGGCTGGATTGCAAAGAGCAGTGGTTGAAAAGAATGTTTAGAGTCAACCCCTCGAACATACCCACTTGGATGGCACCCCTTTTTTTGGTTGAGGGTGCCTTGTTTGTCGATTTTTTGGGTGAAACGACAAAAGGACAACCCGTGGGTCCCTGTCCTTCGCTCGGCTTTGTGGTGTCCGTTTGCTTGAAAACAGTCCTGGTTTATTCAATCCATGGCACGGCATTTCCTTTTGGCTTGGTTGAAACGGGTGGTGCGTTTATCCAGGGAAACGGGTTTGTTTCCCACCAAAGCAACTTAAAACTAGGTCGCCCAGTAGTGCCCACTCTTTCACCCCTTTTTTGGGGCGAGGGTTCCCCTAAAATAGACGACAGAAAAAAGAAACGGTACCAACTTATTCTAACCTCTCCACTGGAGGAATAGGGTTTGTTGAAGCCTTCATTGTGGGCATTTGCCTCACCTCCCGCTGGTTTTCTCAGGAGTGCGAACGAATCTCCCTTGTGCGAAGGCATTGCATGCCGACGGCCAGTTAAATATTGATGTCCGACTTGGATGGTTCAACTACTGTTTGGGAGTGTCATATTTTTTGTTTTCCGGCCCGTATAACTCTGGGCTAGAGAGGGTTGTAACCACGACAAAGAACATGTTACAACGACAAAGGTCATTGTTACAACGACAAAGAATCTCGTTACACCGACAAGTTTCAGTGAAGACTATCCCGACAAGGCTTCTACTACTATTACTATTACTATTACTGCTATTACTACTACTACTACTATTACTACTATTACTACTACTACTATTACTACTATTACTACTACTACTATTACTACTATTACTACTACTACTACTACTATTACTACTACTACTATTACTACTGCTACTATTACTACTATTACTACTACTACTATCACTACTACTACTATTACTACTATTACTACTATTACTACTACTACTACTACTATTACTACTACTACTCTTACTACTATTACTACTATTACTACTACTACTATTACTACTATTACTACTACTACTACTACTACTACTACTACTATTACTACTATTATGACTACTACTACTATTACTACTATTACTATTATTACTATTACTAGTATTACTACTACTACTATTACTACTACTACTATTACTACTACTACTATTACTTATCCCGACAAGGCTATTACTACTATTACTATTATACTATACTATTACTACTCCTATTACTACTACTACTATTACTACTATTACTACTACTACTATTACTACTACTACTATTACTACTATTACTACTACTACTATTACGTAGTAATAGCAGTAATAGTAGTAATAGTAGTAATAGTAATAGTAGTAATAGCTTCCTTCTTATTCCTTTCTATTGACCTTCTCATTCCTTCTTATTCCTTTCTATTGTCCTTCGTATTCCTTCTTATTAATTTCTATTGACCTTCTTATTCCTTCTTATTCCTTTCTATTGACCTTCTTATTCCTTCTTATTCCTTCCTATATACCTTCTTATTCCTTCTTATTCCTTTCTACTGACCTTCTTATTCCTATTCATTCCTTTCTATTGACCTTCTTATTCCTTCTTATTCCTTTCTATTGACCTTCTTATTCCTATTCATTCCTTTCTAATCCTTCTTATTCTTTTCTATTCACATTCTTATTCATTCTTATTCCTTTCTATTGACATTCTTATTCTTTTTTTCCCCACATCTTTGTGTGGGGTTCTTACTTTTTCCGCTCGTCGTCCGCGCGCCGCGTCTCCTCCTCCTCCCGCTCGTCTCCGTCTCACTCACTCACTCACTCACTCACTCACTCACTCACTCACTCACTCACTCACTCACTCACTCACTCACTCACTCTCACTCACTCACTTACACTCACTCAACTCACACTCACTCACTCACACTCACTCACTCACACTCATTCACTCACACTCACTCACACTCACTCACACTCACTCACTCACACTCAGTCACTCACACTCACTCACACTCACTCACTCACACTCACTCAAACTCACTCACTCACTCACTCACTCACGCTCACTCACACTCACTCACTCACACTCACTCTCATTCACTCACTCTCATTCACTCACTCACTCACTCACTCGCTCACTCACTCACTCACACTCGCTGACTCACGGCAGCTGTCTAGAGGGACAGGATGTTGTCGCGCGCGCGGCGGGGGGCGTGCAAAATCGTGGCAGGCGCAGCACTTTGGCGATGCCGTTGCCTCTGTCGTGGCAGGCGCTGCATTCTGTGCATCTGGGTGTGGAGATGCCATTGCCGAAGTCGTGGCAGGCGCAGCATTCTGTGCATCTGGGTGTGTGTTTGTGTGGCAGGGGTCGCTTTCGGCAGCTGTCTAGAGGGACAGGATGTTGTCGCGCGCGCGGCGGGGGGTGTGCGAAATCGTGGCAGGCGCAGCACTTTGGCGATGCCGTTGCGAAATCGTGGCAGGCGCAGCACTTTCGCGATGCCGTTGCCGAAGTCGTGGCAGGCGCAGCATTCTGTGCATCTGGGTGTGTGTTTGTGTGGCAGGGGTCGCATTCGGCAGCTGTCTAGAGGGACAGGATGTTGTTGCGCGCGCGGCGGGGGGCGTGCGAAATCGTGGCAGGCGCAGCACTTTGGCGATGCCGTTGCGAAATCGTGGCAGGCGCAGCACTTTGGCGATGCCGTTGCCGAAGTCGTGGCAGGCGCAGCATTCTGTGCATCTGGGTGTGTGTTTTTGTGGCAGGGGTCGCATTCGGCAGCTGTCTAGAGGGACAGGATGTTGTCGCGCGCGCGGCGGGGGGCGTGCGAAATCGTGGCAGGCGCAGCACCTTGGCGATGCCGTTGCGAAATCGTGGCAGGCGCAGCACTTTGGCGATGCCGTTGCCGAAGTCGTGGCAGGCGCAGCATTCTGTGCATCTGGGTGTGTGTTTGTGTGGCAGGGGTCGGTTTCGGCAGATGTCTAGAGGGACAGGATGTTGTCGCGCGCGCGGCGGGGGGCGTGCGAAATCGTGGCAGGCGCAGCACTTTGGCGATGCCGTTGCGAAATCGTGGCAGGCGCAGAACTTTGGCGATGCCGTTGCCGAAGTCGTGGCAGGCGCAGCATTCTGTGCATCTGGGTGTGTGTTTGTGTGGCAGGGGTCGCATTCGGCAGCTGTCTTGAGGGACAGGATGTTGTCGCGCGCGCGGCGGGGGGCGTGCGAAATCGTGGCAGGCGCAGCACTTTGGCGATGCCGTTGCGAAATCGTGGCAGGCGCCGCACTTTGGCGATGCCGTTGCCGAAGTCGTGGCAGGCGCAGCATTCTGTGCATCTGGGTGTGTGTTTGTGTGGCAGGGGTCGCATTCGGCAGCTGTCTAGAGGGACAGGATGTTGTCGCGCGCGCGGCGGGGGGTGTGCGAAATCGTGGCAGGCGCAGCACTTTGGCGATGCCGTTGCGAAATCGTGGCAGGCGCAGCACATTGGCGATGCCGTTGCCGAAGTCGTGGCAGGCGCAGCATTCTGTGCATCTGGGTGTGTGTTTGTGTGGCAGGGGTCGCATTCGGCAGCGGTCTAGAGGGACAGGATGTTGTCGCGCGCGCGGCGGGGGGTGTGCGAAATCGTGGCAGGCGCAGCACTTTGGCGATGCCGTTGCGAAATCGTGGCAGGCGCGGCACTTTGGCGATGCCGTTGCCGAAGTCGTGGCAGGCGCAGCATTCTGTGCATCGGGGGGTGTGCGAAATCGAGGCAGGCGCAGCACTTTGGCGATGCCGTTGCGAAATCGTGGCAGGCGCAGCACTTTGGCGATGCCGTTGCCGAAGTCGTGGCAGGCGCAGCATTCTGTGCATCTGGGTGTGTGTTTGTGTGGCAGGGTCGCATTCGGCAGCTGTCTAGAGGGACAGGATGTTGTCGCGCGCGCGGCGGGGGGTGTGCGAAATCGTGTCAGGCGCAGCACTTTGGCGATGCCGTTGCGAAATCGTGGCAGGCGCAGCACTTTGGCGATGCCGTTGCCGAAGTCGTGGCAGGCGCAGCATTCTGTGCATCTGGGTGTGTGTTTGTGTGGCAGGGGTCGCATTCGGCAGCTGTCTAGAGGACAGGATGTTGTCGCGCGCGCGGCGGGGGGCGTGCGAAATCGAGGCAGGCGCAGCACTTTGGCGATGCCGTTGCGAAATCGTGGCAGGCGCAGCACTTTGGCGATGCCGTTGCCGAAGTCGTGGCAGGCGCAGCATTCTGTGCATCTGGGTGTGTGTTTGTGTGGCAGGGGTCGCATTCGGCAGCTGTCTAGAGCGACAGGATGTTGTCGCGCGCGCGGCGGGGGGCGTGCGAAATCGTGGCAGGCGCAGCACTTTGGCGATGCCGTTGCGAAATCGTGGCAGGCGGCGATGCCGTTGCCGAAGTCGTGGCAGGCGCAGCATTCTGTGCATCTGGGTGTGTGTTTGTGTGGCAGGGGTCGCATTCGGCAGCTGTCTAGACGGACAGGATGTTGTCGCGCGCGCGGCGGGGGGCGTGCGAAATCGTGGCAGGCGCAGCACTTTGGCGATGCCGTTGCGAAATCGTGGCAGGCGCAGCACTTTGGCGATGCCGTTGCCGAAGTCGTGGCAGGCGCAGCATTCTGTGCATCTGGGTGTGTTTGTGTGGCAGGGGTCGCATTCGGCAGCTGTCTAGAGGGACAGGATGTTGTCGCGCGCGCGGCGAGGGGCGTGCGAAATCGTGGCAGGCGCAGCACTTTGGCGATGCCGTTGCGAAATCGTGGCAGGCGCAGCACTTTGGCGATGCCGTTGCCGAAGTCGTGGCAGGCGCAGCATTCTGTGCATCTGGGTGTGTGTTTGTGTGGCAGGGGTCGCATTCGGCAGCTGTCTAGAGGGACAAAATGTTGTCGCGCGCGCGGCGGGGGGTGTGCGAAATCGTGGCAGGCGCAGCACTTTGGCGATGCCGTTGCGAAATCGTGGCAGGCGCAGCACTTTGGCGATGCCGTTGCCGAAGTCGTGGCAGGCGCAGCATTCTGTGCATCTGGGTGTGTGTTTGTGTGGCAGGGTCGCATTCGGCAGCTGTCTAGAGGGACAGGATGTTGTCGCGCGCGCGGCGGGGGGTGTGCGAAATCGTGGCAGGCGCAGCACTTTGGCGATGCCGTTGCAAAATCGTGGCAGGCGCAGCACTTTGGCGACGCCGTTGCCGAAGTCGTGGCAGGCGCTGCATTCTGTGCATCTGGGTGCTCTGTAATCGCATCCATACAAGGGGCGCACGGTACATGTGTGTGGACATTTGAACTCACATCCTTGCGAAAAACATAGCATGTGGGGTTATCCGGTCCTTTAATTCCCCACATCTTTGTGTGGGGTTCTTACTTTTACCGCTCGTCGTCCGCGCGCCGCGTCTCCTTCTCCTCCTCCTCCCGCCCTCCCTCCTCATCACTGTCTCACTCACTCACTCACTCACTCTCTCACTCACTCACTCTCACTCACTCACTCACTTACACTCACTCAACTCACACTCACTCACTCACACTCACTCACGCTCACTCACACTCACTCACTCACACTCACTCACTCACACTCACTCACAC